AGGGGGAGAGGGGGAGGGGGAGGGGGAGGGGGAGAGAGAGAGAAATCTGGAATCTTTTTCTATTATTATCAATTAGTCTTCCTGTCTTCACCTGAGACAAACCTTAAGGCACCTGTTTCCTTTTATTATGGCAGTATCAATTCAGCATCCAAGAGACACAGGTGATAGCTGAGGGCATTTAACAGTAATAAACTGTTATATTAGAGTCTGTTTTTGCAGAATTCAGACCCTTTTGAGTCTGGGGGTGTGAATACCTCTCGAGTGTTACTGTTTCTTACCGCCTGGGTGTATTTGACGGTCCTCGCACTTCTGGCTCTGTAGCTGATGGTGGTCCTGTAACAGAGCTGAGTGGTTCATGAGAAATTTGAACATGTTAGAGACACAGAAGGAAACTGATGAAGCAGAATGTGGTTGGTAGAGTTGGGAGAATCAGGAAGAAAAACATATGGGGTTCCCAATCCAGTGGGGTTGAGTGCAGGTGTGGGATGAAACCTCATTCTTCTGGATTTGGAGACAAGGCATTAGATCTCGGTGTCCTCTGGAACTTAAGGGAGCAGGGCCCTGTTTGCATCACTGTGTATGAGGAGGAATTCCCCTGGGTTGGGGGTGGGGTAAAAGGCTAGGAAGAATAGGAGAGGAGCTGCTGGCGAGTCTGGGGTCAGGGGAGTGGGGGGAGTAAGCTCCTATCTCGGCTAAAAGTTCTCTTCCCATTAGGGGCACAGGGCAAGTTGGCATGACTTGGGTAAAAGGATACTCCTGAAAATACAATTAAGTGGTGGGGTCTGATGTGGTAGGTAAGGCTGTCTCCCTACCCTGACAATAGGGAGATGAGGAGAAGTGGGTCCCCAATATTCCCTCAGGACCAAGTAAGTGGCCCCAGTGTCCACGAGGAAGGAAATGGATCACCCTGATCCTGTGACGGCTTCCTGAGGCTCCCTGTGGGAGATGACAGTTGTCGGGCTGGAGTCTGGGCACCTTCACTCATGGCCAAGTCCAGAAGGTTGGCTGGAGGGTGGTCTGTGTTTGATGTCCCTCTGACACCAGGTGCATGGGGGCAGTCAGCTGACCAGTGTCCCTCTTGGTGGCACTTTGCACATGGCCCCAGTAGCCTGCGTGGGGCAGGGCAAGTACAAGCCCAATGGCCTTCTCAACCACATTTAAAACAAGGACCTGGGGGACCTCAGGCAGCTGGTCGGATGGCTGTGGCCAGCATTTGGTATTTCTGTTTATGGGCTTTCTCATCTCTCCCATGGCACACCTTATAAGCCAGCACTAAGACTTCTGTCTGTGGGGTCAGGGACCCTCTCTCCAGATGCTCAAGTTTGGCCTTAATGTTGGGAAATCTCTGCAAAAAGAAATGAGTCATAAGGAGCTGTCTGCCCTCTGGGCTCTCAGGATCTAGATTAGTAAGAGGGCCTTTGTCTTCTAGCTTTTCATAGTTTACTGGTTTGACAGCAGCCTTACAAAGACCTGTTAGGAGGCAGGTTGTAAACTGATCTCTAGCTAGCCACCTGGGGTGTTGTAACCCTACTATGGATCCTGATCAGGGACCACCTCAGCTCTGGGAGGATGTGCTGTGTTAGTCTGGTGGACCTTATCAGCATGTATCCTAGCCTGTTCCCAGACTTGTCTGTGCTCCTCAGGAAGTAGGTTGTTAGTTAGGATCATGAAAGGTGAGACTATAGGGTTGGGTGATATATTGGAATTGTTTCTATCTGAGAGAGTTCTGCCAGTGAGAAAGGAACGTGTCCTTAACCAGCCCATCCACCCCACTACCTCTCACAAAGGAAGGATGGCAGCTGGATTGGTTTGACTGGGGTGGGGTTCCTTAGCAGCTCAAGAATATGTGACAAGGTGAGTAAAGGTGGGAGCCAGAGTGGGGCAGTTGGAGCGCCCAGTACGGGAGGGGAGGGAGGGGCTGGAGGAGCGGAAGGAGCAGTCATTGGAGAAGAGGAAGGAGTGGGGGGGTTGGACAGGCGGGGGTTTGTTAGCAGGGTCTAGAGCAGTAGTGAGAGCTTCCTCTGGTTCAGGTTGCACAGCCAGCAGCGTGTGGGCAGGTGAACAGGAATCAAGGAGAGCGGGTTTGGAGCTGAGACAGAGAAAAGCTTGGCTATAAGGTAACTTTCCATCTGCCCATTCAATGACAGAAGTTAGATAGCTCCATAAAATATAGGGATCAAACGAGCCATTAGGTGGCCATTTTTATTGTTATCTAAGGGATATTTAGATCATTTTTCAGTGAAGATGGATAAGTTTAGAAGTCTGTAAGTAGATCATTAAGCTGAGAGGTTTGAGGGTTTCTAAAAGGCATCCCAGAGGACATGTGGGGCTTATGGGGTTGGAGGCCTTGTTTCCCATGGCTGTGACAGAGAGAAAAAATAAAAATAAAAAGATAAACGAGATTCAATGGCTATAATATCTCAGGTATCCCAGAGATTAAGCGAGGATCAATAATTGCACAAGTCACTCAGTGTTCCATCGAGCAAAGAGTGAGGGCCGGTGTGGTAGCCCAAGGAAGAGGGTACACAAGAAACAAATGAAAACATGGCCTCAGACCGCAGTTATGAAGAATGGCCAGGGGTGGTAGTCACTGATGGGGGCTAACTGTAGCTGCTGAATACCGTGGATAGGGGTACCCCAATTTCAAGGACACCAGAGGGGTGTTGGATAATCGACGGTCATTCTCATGAGTCCAGGGAACTGTTTATGCTGACTGGTTAAAGGAAAACTCACCAATTGAAGTAGCCAGTGTTATGCAAAGTGATCTGGTGGCCAGGCAGATAAAAAGTGGGCAGTTGCAAATGAACCAACCTGGTTCAGGATCCCAGCGCAGGGCACCGGGAGGGCCTGTTTGGTTATGGCACCAATGTTATTCATTTGTTGGCATTATTTACCGGGCATGAGAAAACATGGGGTACAATGGAGGCCACTATAAGAGTTTTTGTTAGGGAAGGGAAAGGGTTCTGGAAAAAAAAAAAAAGGTGTGGGGTATGGGGAGAGATGCATGCTATCTCGGGCAAGAGGGAGAGAGAGTGGAGAGTGGTAGCCTGCTTTTATAGGTCACGTCAAGCATGCATATATGGGCTTACAGAGCTATGCCACACGTGCACCTAGATTATGTGATCATAATCTGCAGATTATGTGACCATGCTGAACATGGATTACGTAGAACATAAGGCCCTGGAACTAAGCATTTTGCCTGACTGCTGACAGCACATGTTGTCAGCCTGAAAGTAACCAGACCCCCTGGAAGTAACCCCAACCATGTCCCTGGAAGTAACCCCCACCAGTGCCTCTGTAAGTAACCCTGACCAGTACCCCTGGAAGTAACCCCCACCAGTGCCTCTGTA